TTTTTTTTTTTTTTTTTTTTTTTTTGGGTGACCTAGCCCTCTACTCAACACTACGTATGTCAGACCCGACCGAAGTCACCAAAGAAGATCTGCTGGAGGAAACTAATAAAAGTACAGCACGGGAGATCTTCAAAATATTCATCCTGGTTATCAGTTGGATAGAAAAAATAATCCCAAATGGTCTCAACTTGTCCGCACCTTTCTAAAAGGCAAAGGAAAGTTGAACATTGTAAATGGGATGGGACTCAAATTGGGGGACCCAAAGTTTGACGCGTGAGATGATGCTACATATATGCTTCTGCCAAAGATAGATGGGAAAATAGGAAACAACGAAGGAAACTTATTCAAAAGTGAAGGATGCAGCATAAATATAAGACATCGAGACTCGTATCTAACAGTGACACAATGTTCTACCGTTCTCCAAAGCTTGTAGCAAGAGTTAAATCATTATCAATGGGTTGAAATGAAATGCACCGAGGATGTGGCTATCAAAGTGAAAGTAGGAGGTATCAAAATGATGAATCTAACTAGGAAGTAGGAAAAGCAGGAAACGAGGATCATGTGGTATGCACTTATTGCAAACAAACCGAGGCACACCAAGGATAAATTTACAGCTTTTTTTTTTTCTTTTTTTTCCTATTTTTGTAAATTGTATTTCCTTATTTGTAATTAGCTCTTAATTGGTAATTGTTTCCTTGTATGATATTTTCCTCCCAAGTTTTTGTTTTCGTGTAATTTCTATTTAGATTAGTCTTTTGTACCCATTTTTCTTCAGCAAGGAAGAATTATCTTCCTCATTGAAAATTTTCTTTCCTACAGAGATTTTGAAATTAGGGAGATGGCAATTCAATGGAGAATAAACACACATGGTACCTAAAATGTGATACCTCAAACATAGCTTCTGTCAGAATGTGTTCTAAAATGGATCTTAATCCTCTAGCACCTGTGTTCTTTTTCATTGCTTTCCTCGCAATCATTCTTAAAGCATTCTCAGTGAAATGTAATTCGACCTGCAAAATCATACAAAGGCTTGAGAGTAAACACACAAGAACACTATTGGATTTACAACAAATTTTTTGAGTTTCTCTTCTTTTTTTTTTTTTAATTCTTTTAATGAATTTGGGAAGAAGTAAACTAGGATAGCATTTCATATATGTAATAAATGCTTGGTTCATATTATATTAAAAAGGTACTTACATCATTCATTCTAAACATCTTCTTGTACTGCTTACCAAGCGCATTTTTCGGTTTCGTAAGAACCTATTAAACAGAAATAAGAACGAAGAAAATTGTTGTATCTACCAGAGTTCAGCAACAAAAACAGAAAAAGATGACCCAAAAGACTAGACAAACCTGAACAAGTTGGTCCTCATTCAAAGCTGACAAACTCACAAGAATAGGAAATCGTCCGACGAATTCGGGTATGAGGCCGTAAGTAACAAGATCACTGCTTTCTACCTAAAGGTTAAGAGAAATTCATTTCAGAAGTTGAATGAAGACAAGTTGTGAAATGGAGGGAAACAAATGAAGTAAATGAAGCCTCAGTTCAGAAAATGCCAAAGATAAAATAACAAAATACATTATAGCACAATAATTTAACATCCAATGGTGTAAGGTCTCACAGATTCCAGTATCGACGATGTCACTATATCATCTGTCAATCCACCAGTTCTCATGCTAGCACGAACTGGTGCTCCAAAGCCGATTGAAGAATCATGCTGCCTGTAAAAAGAGAGTTGATATTCAATTTCTACACAGATTATTGAACGGAAGAAAAAGAACAAAAATTCATCAGTTTTTTATTGACATTTAGAATGAAGCAATTGTTACCTGTCAGAGATGCACTTCTCCAAGCCAACAAATGCACCACCACATATGAAGAGAATATTTTTTGTATCAATCTGTCATGCATAAAAGAAATTTAGGTTTAAGAAGGCAACATATATTGCCAGAACAATAGTATTTTTTCTAACAGAATAATAAAAAGAACACCAAATAAGCACAAACTGGCAAAAAGTGGGGAGTTTGTTCATTTGTTAAGGTCCACGTTTGATTTTTTTTTTTTAAAAAGTGCATAAAATAATATAGTTCTATGAACTAGACAATTAAAAGTTTAAGAAACTAGAACTTTAGTATGAAACTAAAAGTACTTAAAAGCAGATGATTTTTGGAAACTATTTCTTAAATTCTTCACAAAAGTTCTGGAATGCAAAAAACACTGAAGATTGTTACCATTGTACCCTCAAACTTACAACATCATTACAATTAAACTATACCGCTTAACCTCCATTAATGACCAATCTAAAAATGCACATATCACGTAACAATTAAACCCACAATTTTAAATTGAAAACAAAAATCTATACTATTAACTATAAGATCACTTTAAATTTAATAATTGAAATATTAACAAGAAAATTATTATTATGATTGGAGGATATAAATCATATTTCACACGTTAGATCCTTAAAAAATGAAGTTATCAGCTTACCTATGAATACTATTGGTGTGATTAATAAAAGGCTAAATTATAATTTTTGTTTCTATAGTCTAGAAAGTCAAAATTTAGTCTCTATGGTTTTGAAAGTTAGAATGCGCATGGTTTAATAAAACCTCATAAATAGTCCCTATGGTCTGATAAGACTCTCGTAAATAGTCTAATGGATGAACTCTAATCTTTAAATCATAGAGACTAAATTCTTACGTTCTTCAAACCATAGAGACCAAATTTATAATTTAACCTTAATAAAATCTTATTTCATCTCTCTTTCTGCTACTATCCATTTGATTCAACATTTCTCTCTATTGTTAAATAAATTCCAACATTTAAAGAAATTCTATACATGTGTGAAACTTATGCTTTGACAGTTTCATAACGAAATCCTGACAAATGATCTAAGTTAATTCACTCATGAAATTTAAAACCAGAGTACAAATTGATCTATAAAAACTATTTTTCAAAAAATAAAATAGTCAATAATCCAATGGGACGTCTTGTCCAAGCCTGATTCAAAGTTTGATCCAATCAATCAAATCCATGGGTTAGGACCTGAGCTCGGGCCTTTACATTTTTGGTGACTCATCTCCAACAAGTTGTCAATGTCAAACCACTAAAAAAAGATTTTGGACTATATGAATTCGAGAAGTTAATATCTTTAAATGTGGCTCATTACTTCCAGACCTTTCTCGTCAATTTGAGTGAGAAAGGTCCGGCAAAGAACAAGCTAATATAATTTCCATGTAAGTACCTGTATGGTAGCTGAAGGTAGAGCTAACTTCGAATGCGATTTGCACATTATACTAATATCAAAGAAGAAAACCAATAAAAATAATACTAAATTGCAGTTCAACTCCACCTGAATTGTATCACCTTGAGGATGCTTTCGAGCACCTTTGTCAGGAACATCCACTACCTGAAAGAAAGTAAATGGTTTTGAAGTAAATTGACAATTTCGAAAGGTTTTTTTTTTGGTACTAGGAAGGCAACTTTCATTTATAAAAAGACAAAAATACAGTGGATGATATGACAAAAGACCCGCAAGAGCCAAGAAAGAGCTCCAAAGCAAGACTTCAAAGTGAATAATATGAATATCCCACAGTTCCCTGCTAAATTCCAAGAAGTTATGCTGTAGTTATAGAAGTAAAATAGATGACTCAAGTTGTCCCGTAGTGTCAGGTTGTTTAAGTTTACATGGTTCCCCACCTTGAAAACGCCATTAAATGGAATCCCACAACCGCCAACATCCCACCTCTAGAAACGGAAGAAAAGCAAGAATTTTGGAACACTAGAGAGGACGATCATAGATCAAAGAAAATTGGCAAAGACCATAATCTAAAAAATATTTCCAGGACCCTCTTGGAGAATGTTAATGTAGCACAAATGTACGAAATCTAAAAGGAATTAAATCAAAGAATCTTTTCCTTTTAGATTTTGCACACTGGAAACAAGCAGCTGGGTAAACAAAAATTTGGTCGTCCTAAGAAGGTCAAGGTTTTCTTGTGGATTTCCTCTTTTGAGAGGCTGAATACTCACGGTAGAACCTAAAGAATTTTTTGAAATTCTGCTCTTTACCCCAATTGGTGCGTTCTTTGTAAACGTGAGGAATCTTTGATGCACCTCTTCTTCTCTTGCCCATTTGTTGCTGCTTGCTGGGAAAGAGGGTTAAATTTATTCAATTTGCAGTGGTGTTGGACCAATAAAGCTTCAGATGCCCTTCTTCACCTTATTGAGGACCCTCAGTTTAAGGTTCAAGCAAAATCCTACGGTCTAATGGTGTCTTTGCCCTACTTACGCGAAAATCCTAGTAGCCCTTTGACCTGTTCTGGCTAATCGTGTCACAGAATAAATAAGTTGAGGTGTAGAACGAATTTACACGTGCACTTAGTGTTAACAATAGAAGTCAAATATTCGTCAACCAATACAAATATGCTTCAAAATGGGGGAGAAAAGATTCTAAGTCAAACGAAAACATCAAATTGACATCAAAGCCATTTGAAGATTCATCCAACTTCTAGGAGATTAAGCAAGGAAAACAGGTGAAGCAATACAAGACGAGTTAAGAAAATAAAAAATAAAAAATAAAAAATATACACACACACATCAACAACAAAAAATGAACAATATTACTGTCAAATTGAATACCCACGGTTCCTTCAAGCATTTTCAGAAGTGCCTGCTGGACCCCCTCCCCAGATACATCTCTGCCAGAGTTTACGTTCTCACTCTAATAAGAAAAAAGCAAGTTATGGCAAATACTATAAAGTCAACAACTATAGCCTCTATAGATCTTAGACCATGCTATACCTTCTTAGTTATCTTATCCACTTCATCAATATATACTATCCCTCGTTGAGCTGCTTCTACATTGAACTCTGCATCCTATACAATTAAAGCACAGTGTACGGAATGAGGAAAGGTAAAAAGACAAATAACGAAGGCATGAAAATATTCCCCAAAACTTCGGAAAAGTTGATCTTAGATTTCATATACTTCCTCAAATGAAAAGCTAGGGAAAAAACTATTAGGTGTAGGGCCTTGGTTGAGCTCTCATCCTATATTTCTAACAGGATACAGACTCCGAATCCATCATCCAGGGGGAAACTTATCGCAAGATAATTCCTTGAGATTTTTCAAAAATCAGCTACACCAACCCACTTTTCATTTGTATGTAAACTCATGACTTTCTGGCAGTAGTAAGTAAATAATGAAAACTGCAGCTTCTCTTTAATTCCATAGGCAAGAAAAAATATCCCAAGTCTACAATTTCTTTGTGATTCAATCACTATTTTTTTTTCTTTTGCTAATATTTCAAATTCATACTAAATTAAGAAATATCAGCCATTTTTGTTCTATTTATGGTGAAAAACATTGAAACAGAAAGATGAGAAGATAAATGAAATCCTTCCTCCATACAAATGTAATTACACGTGATATTTACAAAAAAAAAAAGGTCGGATAATCAAGCATACAGAGAGTGTTCCTATATATATATTTTTTAACACTTCAAAAGCTTAATAGTTTTAGAAAATAAAATAAACAAACTGTACCATAGCTGTGCCCTTTTTAACTTGAGAGTCATCTACACATGACCCTTTGGACTCGAAAAGGTGGTTGAATGTTTCAATCAAAAGATATTTAAAAACAAAGCTTAGTAATAATTACACGCAAAATAAACGATAATATTACATGTGAATGACCCATTGATTCATAAATCATCACTCTCTGCATATCTTGATCCCAAAACAGGTTTTGAACCAAAATGACTTACAAATTCATTAAGACGCGAGGAGAAACAAATAAATTAATACCAGAATGACTTACAAATTCATTAAGACACGAGGAGAAACAAATAAATTAATACCAGAAGGAGCTTGTATAATATTGATTCCACATCTTCTCCAACATAACCTGCCTGAAAAGTAGAGCGTGTGAATTAAAATTCTACTAAGCCAACTGAAAAAAAAATGCTGCTTGGTAATTAGAAGTGGAACTATTTTGAAGCAATAAATACGTTGAGATGATTGAGGCTCAAAATTCCTGATATAGAGACAAGGAAAAAAATGTAGAGCTCACAAGTTACTAATCGGTATAGCATACATATTTTTATCAAAAACCAGGCTTTCATTGAAAGTTTATTATTATTATTATTGTGTGTGTGTGTGTGTGATGTCATTGGGGAAGATGTGAAAATTGTACTCAAATAATTTCTTTAATTAGTATTATAGGTGGGACTAATTGTGAAAGTATCATTAACTTTTGAATATGTTTTTTTTTTTTTTTGGGGGGTCGAAAACATATCATTTCGTTGATACAATGAAATTACAAGAAATAATCACTTCCTATCGATAAGTTACAAAAAGCAATTACATTGAGCTACGAGAGAGAATAAACCATAATTACAAAATGGGGATCAATTTACACCAAGACATAGAAAGATGCACAATTGTCAAGAGTAAAGCTTTGAAGAATTGTTCCTTGTTAAAGATACGAAAATTCTTCTTGGTCCAAATGGACCACAAAAGAGCCCGTATGCTAAGCTAAACGGTGTTTTTTCTCCTTTTTGGAGGGGTGGCTAGCAAGCATGGTGGAGAGGAGGTCCCAATTGTCTTTTGGAATGGCAATGTGCCACCCAAACACTTCCAGTAAGTATCCCCAAAGATCTCTGGCCAGAGGACAAGTACTGAATAAGTGATGTGGGATTTAACATTTTTTTACACAAAATACAGCAGGTTAGAGAGATATTCAGCTAGGGGGATCTTTTTTTTGGGTAGAATCCTTTCCAACTAGAGTCATGTAATTCCTGTTTTCATAATGAGAACGCAATTTGTGAGCTACCTTTATGATAATTATTGTCAGTGTTGGACTTTCTACTTCTTTTATGAACATTTGTGCGTAAATATTAAATGTCAAATATTTGGTCCTTATTGTCTTAATTCTTCTCCAACATAAGAAAGCTAAATTGCACATATTAACATACAATATATTTTTAACCTCTTGAGATTAAAACGGTATCATAGCAGGTATACCCTACCAGTCCTTATAAATCCTAAAAAGCCCTAGCTATCGTTGCCATCAACTGCTACCATCCTCCGTATCATCACCAAAACTCATGGTTACCTTGGGCTGAATATTGGACAAAACCACTTTCATGCCTCCATTAATCTCATGCCCTTTCAGGCAGTCTATGGATGTCCACCCTCTGCTATTTAATGAGGATCGAAAGACAACTAATCTTTTTCTGAAAAGTCAACTTTTGTTGAGAAAAAAAAATGAAAGAATACAAGAGTATTCCAAAAAAAAAAAAAAAAAAAAAAAAAAAAAAAAAAAAAAAAAAAAAAAAAAAGCTAAGCCCACAAAAGGGAGTCCAATTAAAGAAAATGACACCAATTAAGAAGAATAAGACCTAAGGAACAATATCAAAAAGACTTTGTCACGGACGCCCAAAGAGAAACATAGAACCTAACAAGGGACAAAAGTCATAAGGACCACTCACATTCCCTTTAAAGCTAATGGGCAATTGGAACAACAACTTGTGCAGAGAGATATGATGATTTCCACTCTTCAACACCATCTGGTAATTACTCATAACCGAATGAAGAAGTTTGCAAATCAAATGAAGAGGGTGCTGGAATTTATGGTCTAAGACAAAAAATTTCTAGAAATTCATCCATCTTTGACTAAAAGGAGGTGTGAGAAGTTATTTCCAATGTACTATGGGTTATATAAGATGAAGGAGGACAAAGGCCAAGTGGCTTAACGCTTGGAACTTTCAGATGAAGCAGCAATTCATTTTGTGTTCATATTTCACAATTGAAGAAAACAATTGGGGAGGACATTGACGTGAAGTCCTTGCCTACTCTCACAGAGAATTATGAGTTGCTAGCATAACCGAAAGAACTCTTGGCTGGATGTTGGAATGAACATGAAGCTAATTGGGTATGGTTGCTGCAAGGGTGACATCTAGAATATGAAGTGACTTGGGAGTCAGCTGAGATGTTGTGCAACCAATTTCCTCAGTTCCACCTTGAATACAATTGTCTTCAGAACTTGAGGGTAATGTTAGGCCACCAATCAAGATTATGTATCAGAGAAGTGGTATACGAGAATTCTCAACAGAAGTTGGTAAGTAGGGTGCATTTGTATGGAGTTGGAGAGGGAGTGCAGTATTTGGGAAGGGGTTGGTTGGAAGAATGTTCTATCATCGTTATGTTGGGACTGTGTGTCTGGGAGGGAGGGTTGTCTTTACTTGGGCTGCTACGGTTTGAAAGACATAACAAGAGTTTTAGAAATAGTTATAAATCTTTTTGTAATGTCTGGGAAATTGTACAGTATACATCCTCTACTTCACAGGTGATTTTGTAATTTTTCCATTTTCGTGATCAACTTAACTAGGATGGGGGGTGTTTCTTATATCCCCTTTTCTTGTATGCTTTCCTGTTTTTCTTGATGAATTGTTCTGTTTAAAATATACATACATAAAAATAAAATTTAGAAAAGAAAGAAAAAACATTAACAAGGAAAGAGAAAATAACCCTCCTGAAAATAAACTTGCCTGCGTTAACGCAGTAGCATCAGCAATGGTGAAGGGTACGTTCACAACACGAGCAAGGGTTTTTGCAAGTAATGTCTTCCCTATCCTTAGAGATTTCATAAATGATTATTGAAAAACCTCATACAAAATCAAGGCTATTGGGCACCAAAAGGAAAAGCAGAAAAAAATCAATCGTACCTGAGCCTGTAGGACCCATTAGCAACACATTACTCTTTTCCAGTTCCACAATTTCATTATCATCATTCTCCAATTCAATCCCCAGCGATCCTTGCCCTGGACTAAAAATACAAATGTAGACACCAAGTCAAGGAAAAGTACAATCACTAATATCGCAGAAATATCATTCCCTTGGATTAATACTACTTTTTTAAAAAAAGAAATATAGACTATCGCTGTGAACTCCTTAAACATCAGTAAGCATATATAAATGACCTTTCGAAAATGATTGCACAATGAAAACTAGAGAACTCTCACAAACTAACGTTTTCTGCAATGAGGCATGATATATCCTCTTATGGTGGTTGTATACTGCCACAGAAAGCGCCTGAAATGTTAACATTATATCAATCAAAATGGTAGATCCATGGTAAAATTTATTTGTTGAACAATTCTAAATAACAGTAAACTTCCTCATGGATTATGCCCCGTCCTTTCATCCCAGAGTACAGAATAGGTGGAATAAGCTGGGACTAGCAGGGAGGTCATAATTCTTTGTTAATCAAAACGAAGGACTTTATTTTTGGGGTAGATTTTTGTAGTGAAAAGAGCCGCAAAAAATAAGGATCCTTTCGACAAGAAGGAAAATTACCAGAAAATAAACCATCTAACCAAACTAACAGAACCTAAATATTATACATTCTTAGACCAATAGAATAAGAAAAATAAGTGATGCCGAGGAGTTGTTTGAAAAAAAAATACTTTTTTCCTTTAATAGTAAAATTCCGTGAACATATTTGGTTAAGTCAAGAGAAAAGAACAACTGACCAAAATTCAGTTGATTTTAAGAGTTAGTAACTCAAATTTGCTCTCTTATTCACAAAATAGTACAAGGGATTTTCTTTTTTCTTTTTTTCTTTTCCTTTCAAAAATCAGTAGCTTATAAATAGTGCTTTCAAATGCATAATAACTAAGAACTTTATAACCCACCAAACACAATTCTTAAGTATCAAAGAGAAAAGAAGAGAAGTTGATTTTCCAATAAGCCATGCAATTAAATTCATAAATCTATTTAAACAAGTGATGGTTCTATCAAAGCCAAATAGCTCAACAAAGAGCTCAAACTACACAAAATCCAAATGGTCTTTTAATAACTTCCAAAATTGAAAAATCACATCCTTGCCTTTGGAAAGAGGAAGCCACAACATCAGAAGGAAAGAGAACTGGAGAATAAGACTCTTAAGTTATACCAGCAAGTATAGAGATGATGGTAATGGGTGATTTTCCAAATCCTGAACGAGCAGCAAGTGGCATGCCCAGAATTCCCTTATCACAATTTTTAGGTTCAAAAGCCTCATCCCGTCAATCTTTCTATAACCCAGTGTTTGAGAAAAACAAAAAGCAATTATCTAAGAAGTTTTTTTTTTTCCTAAGGCTGTAGGAACTCTCATTCAGTCCCTCAGTGTTGGGTGGGATACCTACCCATTTCGAATCATTGTTTATGGTCCCCTTTACAATTCAAAGTAAGCTGGAGAAGATCATGAGGAATTTCTTTAGGAGGGTGTGGAGATACCCCGTGCTTCTCACTTGGTCAGATAGGAAATTGATTTGAAGCTGAAAAGAGTAAGGCAGTTTGGGTATAGCTAATTTGAGAATTCATGATGAGGCCATCCTATCTAAGTGGTTGCAACATTTTCCCTAGAGCCTGAGACTTTATGCTATCATATCATTGCAAGCAAATATGGAGCTCTTCCGTCCTAATAGATCTCATTTTGTGGGGCTAAAAACACAAACATGAATCCTTGGAAGGTCATCTCATCTCTTCTAGTTTTAATTCTTTTTCTAAATGTGACATTTTCAATTGGGGTTGACTTAGGTGCTCATTTTTGGGAGGATTTTTGGTTATGTGAGTCATTTTTCTGTCTCCTATTCCCTATCATCCTTCGAATCTGATTCTGTTGCATGTCTTCTGCCTTCATCAAGGGACTCCTTTTCCTTAACTTTGTTGTTCTCCATACTTCCAAGGAAATTTTCAATGTTCTCTTTAAGAGTATCGTTTTCACCCCAGCTCTAGGGATGATTGTTTCCGGGATACTACTGGCGTTTTCTAACCTCCTCAGCCATTCCTCTGTTAGAATAATTCTTTTTACAATCACCCTTCCCTTCATCATTGCCAATTGGAGTCTTTTTATAACTCCGTGCTTTTGTACGACTAGTGTAGTCCCTCATTTGCAGTTTGGTTCTATCAATTAAATTTTTAGTTTCTAACCAAAACATAAAAGAAAAGCCACGAAAATCTTGTAGAATCTGCAGAAAATGCTTGTGAAAAAGGTTATAAGAAGCATAGATAATTATCAAATCACTCGAATCCAACCTTCTTGGCTTTTTCTTGTCCAACGATGAACTTGTCCAGAGCCTCAGAAATTTCCTTGGGAGTTAGCAACTGCCTTCCTGAATTGGCCTCGTCCTTCGGAACACCGTTACTCTCCACCAAACCCAAGCTACCATGGCCACCGCCACAGCTACCTTTCCACCGTGGAGGCAACGCAGAATCATCAGCAGAATTGGCGCCAATATCTCCTTTCGTAGGTTGACACGATTCATTTTCCACAATGTTATCCAAGTCCCTGGCGCCCTTAACCCTACCAATCTCAATAAAAGTACCCTGTAATGGAACCAACTTGAAGGGTCTAAAATAGAATGCAGTTTTGCAATTGGGGCAGAGATTTAGGGCATGATAGACGCCTGTCTCCCGACCCGTAATGGACAAGGGACGATTGGAGAAGATGACAGGCATTTGCTTGGAGCACCTTGGACAATTGACATCAGCCCTAATGTAATCATAGTCGGAGGCCCCTTTCCAACTGTGGCGCTTCTGAGAAAACCAAAGGATGAATCCGGCGGAGCGGGCGGCGGCGTGGGGTTCTAGAGAGGGTTTAGGCGGAAGTGGAGTTAAGAAGCGGTGGTGGAACAGCGAATCAGTGGTTGTGATACTTCTGATCGATGTGAATAGCTTGATGAATTTGGTGTTCTTAACACTGAATCGTGGAATCATAGCGGCTTTTCGAGTAATCTGACCGAATGATTGAACGGCTTCGAAGTTCTTGTGGAATTATGAAGAGGAGAACGAGCACGCAGGCGAAGTTGCCGTCAAGAGCTCACAACAGTGGCACCTGTTGCACTGTGTTATATTTTCTCAAGAAATTAAAATATAAAACGCTTTTTCGGATGAAGCTAGAATGTCAATTTTAAAACAAACTTTTCAAAACTTTTTTGATGGGTGAAATTCCTATTTTCTCCTTCTCTAGATCGGCTACAATCATCTACTATTCCCTTGAGCATCAATGACCCACTTTAACACATCTTCATTGTCGTTCATCTAGGTCTCGAAAAGATCGAATGAAATACCTTCCAGCGTGTAGGTCTCGAAAAGTTATATGAAATAAAAATATAAAAAAATTATCAAATTTGATAAACTGAACTCAAAATTATGATCTCTCAAAATTTAAACTTAAACCGTTTTCAATTCTTAGGAGTACAGGAGGTCAAGGTTCCTTCACTTTTGTTCACTATTTAAAAATGGTAGTAAAAAAATACAAAAAAAAAAAGTATGAAAATGGGTGATCGTTTAGCTACAATGGAATCGAATTGAGAGATCGTGTGCAGTGTGTCACAATCACACTTTCTAGGCTGCAGACTAGCAAGCAAGTTAGCCGTGTGAAATTCTGACATATGGTCAAGCCTCAGGCCACATTTTGTGAGCAAAGGTTTTTAGAAAACGTGATCGAGGAAAATCGTTGGAAACAAGTTGAAATTAAGCATTGTGAAAGTCAATTGTATTGAAAACAAGTGGGTATGAGAGATTACAATACTTGGTCGGGGGAAGTTTGATGACTACTTGGTCCCCCTATAGTACATTGTGAGATGATCTATGTATGACAGATAGAAAATACAATAGTAGAGCAATACAACATGAAAGCAAATAAAGGGTTTAGCATGACATGGGCGTATGACCATGGGCACCACGCCCTGAACAAGCATGATCGTGACATCCTCCCACACCTAATTGGTTGGCGTCCTACCAATCAGCAATCTTCAAACTCAACAATGTGGATAGCAACAGAGTCTAGGTCTTCGGAGCGTTCCCAACTCATTTCCTCTATAGGGAGGTTCTTCCATTTGACGAGGAATTTTTGAATCCTCCGTATAGGTTTTCTAACTTTCTTAACTCTGTCCACTAGGATTGCTCAAACCTCCTTGGTGTCCTTCTGCTTTGGGTCAATTCTAGATCTGGTGATGAAGTTTCAATTGTCGTCATCTGAATTGGAGTGGTAAGGTTTTAGGTTGCTCACATAAATTACTGGGTGGATTTTCATGCATATGGGCAATGTCACCTTGTAAGATATAGACCAGATCTTCTTGAGAACTTCGATCGATTTTTCGTACTTTCTGACAAGTCTTTGGTTCTTTCGATTGCGGAATCTGATTTGTTCTCACCTCAATTTTTAAGACTTGATCTCCTACTCGANGGGGGGGGGGGGGGGGGGGGGGGACGACGCTTCCTGTCTGCCCACTTCATGTGTTTGGAAGCTTTCTCCAAGTATGCTTGGGCTATATCTGTTGTCTACTTCCATTCCGTTGTGAAATTTTCAGCTTGTGGTTTCTTCCCTACATATGGGTGGACAATAATATGGGGCAGGGATTGTTGTCGTCCACTTACAATTTCAAAGAGGCTCTTCCCTGTAACGACCGATCTTCGAAAATACCGAATCACGGGTCGTCACGTGGACTCAAGAGTAAAAAAAACTTTTCAATACTTGTAGTTTGAACAGGGGACTAAAAAGTTAAAAGTTGCTTGATATAAATTTAAAAAAAAAATACTACAAAACACATAATGCAAAAAAAAAAAAATCTGCGGGGTCACATAAAAAGAAACGGTTACAAAATATCGCAGGTTTTTCCAAAAACGTCAAAATCATAACCAAAACGACATGGGAGAAGATGACTCAATCAAAGGGCCCCCTTCTACAATTGCACGACTCCACACGTCCCCGCCACCAACCCAGATCTACTTTTCTCCTGAAAAAAATAGCAAACAACACAGAATGAGTATATAAACAATACCCAGTAAGCAACTTGCTCGTAAGCTCTTGTCGAACTTAGCCCTATTCACGGGATCCTAAGTTTTGAGCTCGAATAGTCACTAGTCAGAGACCTAGTGGTGCCCAGCAACATCTAACTGTTCCTAAGATTAGTAACTACCTGCCACTGTGTCTCACTAGGCCGGGTCAGTCACTACTTGTCTTACGCCATTGTCGGCTCAAATCAGTAAAACTACCTGTCTTAGGAATAGTAACTACCTGTCACTATGCCGCTCGGCTGGATCAGTAAAAGGCCATGGCTCATCCCACTAAGCATCTCTGACGTGTTATCACAGTAATATACTATGATTACCCTCAACCCCTTTGTGGGTGACTACGAAAACGATACAGTTTCATTATGTGCTTTATAACTTATAATAACTAGCACCTAATAAATGATCCAACTCCCAAAGGGTAACAAGGGGCTACCCAAGCCCCATGCCCAATGCCTAACAATGAACCACGGCAACAACACGTCGCCATGCTAAGTCACATAATAACCATAATAACCATCGAGCTCAACATAAAAACATATCATTTCATATGCCTATACGAAATTTCACATTCATGCCAACAAAACTATATAACCATAACGACAACCAAAGTACAACCACACACATTATCAAAGTACCACCTCTATGAACTAACTTTATCCATTCCTAAATACGTTACTAAATTGTTTGGCCACAAATCCAAACTGACTCCTACAAGCAATTACTAAAAAAAACTTGCTCTAGATGGTTACTTACCTGATTGTAGACTTCCCAAAACTTTATCGAGCCTTCAAGTGTCCCCTTGACTAAGATTGGAATTTTCCTATAATAAAGCATTTATGGAATGTGTGAGTCAAGTACCTAAATTTGAATAAAGACGAATCAGATGGTGTGAAATGGGAAAACAAATCGGGTTTCGGTTTTGTACAGGTGGGTCGGGTCGGGTCAGGTCGTACCCCCTCAGTTTTCGGCCTCTTCTTCCCACCTTCTTCTTGATCTTTCTTTCCTCTCAATACCCCATGTCTTCTTCTTCACAAGAACTCACCAACTTTCCTCGACAATAACCTAGGTACACCGATCCCGTGAAATGTATTAGGGTTTTGAAAAACAACAACAAAAATCACACCACTAGGACTTACCACCAGTGTTCTCCCTTCCTCAACCGTTCGGCCCACCGTTGCTAACGAGCTTCAAGCTCCGTCGTTCGTCTCCACCACTCCACCCTCTCCTCTGTCTTCTTCTTCTTTTTTTTTTTTTTTTT